CAAGTCCATATTGCATCAAATACTTTTCATGTTTCAGATCACTAATACTGTTGGTTTAAAGTTGCAGGAGAATTCTCTACTACCTGAATATTTTTCATAACTTTTAACATATTGACTAGCTACTGTACTAAATGATCTATTTTTTATTATAACAATAGTACATGTTTGTGATATCTTTAAAAAAAATAAGTGTGTGGACAACCAGAAAATAGAAAATACTGCCCCCCCTTTTATTTTTGAGAAACTTTTGCTATAGGGCATGTGCACTCGCCAGAGAGACAGAGAGTAAGAAATCACCCCCCAGGGGGGATGGCCACGCTGCAATCCCTTCCCCTCCATTCTCCTCTCCGGACCTCGGGCACACATGCACATGCGCCCAACATGAATTTTAAGTCACCAGGTCCAGGACTTGAACTGTGGCTGATTACATGGTAGTCCAGTGATGCAATCATTACGCCATGTGCTGGCCCCCCAATATTGGTCCCATTTTTGGCAACTCTTCTCACTGTTATAGGTCTCTGGAAATGGCCAAAGCTCATCTGAGAGTGTTCGGCATTGGTATACACACATCAAGGGTCTGAGTGACGGATCGGATGTGGTGCTTACAGATTTCACGTTCTGTCAACATCCCTTTTACCATGGACACAGCGCAAGCTATGTACCTTTAAAACAGGGTGACTGAAATGAAAAGCATAATAGACTTAAAAGGCAACTAACCTTTTTCCACCTCATTCAGATTAGCAGCTGGCAGCGACAAAGACAGAAGAGACAAAAGACATTTACATTGCGGTAGCACAGCAGAGCACGGGGGGCCAACGCGCAGTGACCCACAGAGAAGCCGGGGAAGCAATGAAGCAAGGCTCAGCCTCTTACCTACAGCCGGGCCAAACGCACAGACACGAGGAAATGAGGCAAAAGGCAAACACCACCGCAGCGAGCTACAGGTGTGTGTCTACACTAGGTGGAGTGACCACCCGCAGCCGTACTGTTCCCGCTCAGTGGTTAGTGCATGGCGTGGGAGAGTTGGAAAACAGAGAGTGCACAAAATGGAAAAGGTGGTGTCCTGAGCGTTTTCCACAGAACGTCCTGAGGCGCTACGATACTCGATTTGTATAAAAACTTTCATTTCACTGTATAATCCTATCAGGCACTATGTGGGCTGACAGCAGGATTAATTTTGCGTAGTTGGATAGTTACACGGGGTCTCAGGAGAATTCGATTAAGACACACAGTCTCAACATGGCAGGGTCTGACTGCTGAGAATCGCGCAGAAGCGTGTTTTCCAGTTCCACACTAGAACCCAAGTACGGTACGCATCTTTTCAATATTGTGAGGGGGTCAGATCCCAAGTTTTATTTGTATAGGTTTGAGCCTGTGTAATTGAATGAATTCCTTAAAAATGTTCCTCCAAGAACCGTCTTGGTTTTCAGAAAGGTATGTAAGTATGATTAAAACCAAAATGAAACAAAAATCAAACCCCAAATTTCTCAAGTTACGAATAAGAATTGATTGCTTAATTTGCTTACCAATTCTAAAGTCCTGTTTTCACAGTTCTTAGCATAGTGATTTTAACTTTTAGAATCATAGTGAATTGAACTTCCAAAAATTAATTTTTTCCTGAAGAATAGTAGCCATCAACACTCATGCACTACACAACTAATGGACAGACAATGGATGAGACAGAAAAAGAACAGTTTGCAGGACTAGGGAGGGGAGGTTCTGCAAGGTTCAGAGAACAAGATGACAGTCTTGGATCTTACATTCGTGTTGGCCGTCTTTGGAGTTGGAAAAGCAGGGTCTTCTCCTCCAATAAGTCAGTAACTTACTAGGATGCGTTGGTCACTCAAAGCTTAACTGAAGTTTAATCAGCTTCCCAACAGTGGCTCATTTTAGTTTACTTCTAACCATATTTTATAGTCTACACATTAGGTCATGACTTCTCTGATTGCTTTAGATCTCTGAATTTTCTCTGCTGACATCATGCCACATGGACTGGTGACACAGATGGCAACCCCAAAGCTGTCCCCCTAGTCATTTCCAAGCATTGCCTATGAGGTTTAATTCGCTCCTATTAATAGAGCTTCCTCACGGAATGCCTTTGGGATTTAGAGTAAAGAGAAATCTTCAAAGGAAAAAGCAGTGTATGACAGGAAGGACTTTTAAACAACGACGACATTATATTCCCTGAGCTTAGCTTATCTTGTGCTCGTGAACTGATTCTAAACTTCAACAATGTAGCAACATTACAAGAAATTTCTCCTTAACTTTAGCCTTGAATGCAGCAGGATCTGAAACCCTAGAACCCTAATTTTACCTCCTTATAAGGAAAGGTCACGGATTTCAAGATCTGCAGGTGGCAGGTTGCTATTTCATAAAGAAACATTTCATGTATACATAAAAATACTACAGTTAGTAGATAAGCTTTCAATCTGCCCCGTTTGGATATCTTTTCGAACACTAAGTTCCCATAAAATCCAGCCCACAGTTACACAGGTAGTATGTATCTTCACATCTTATGGGCCATGCGCTTTCTGTGGAGTTCAGTGTTTTTCTTGATCCTGTGCCCAAATTACGGCAAACTGATATGCACAGTTTCTAAAAGTAAACAGAGCGGGCGTCTCAGTTCTAGTCAAGAGCAAATGGCTCTTGACAGTGACGACAACTTCCTGCATCGCCGCTTTCATGGGTGTCACGTCGTGGCTAAGAAGGGGTTTTGCTAAGTGCTGGATTTTGATGACCTGTTTCAAAGAAAGCGATCTGACACCGCTGGGGAAGTGGGGCCTCGCAACACTTTTTGGAGGACGGTGCACTGAACTGAATCATTTGGACAGGAGCTTGGGACAGGAGGGGTGAGGTCAGACAAAGACTCACAAGGAATGGACGAGAATAAGGAACAGCAAATCTACAGCCAAAGTACGGGGACCCTCCAAAGCAGCTCGAGAGAGTCTACTGCCTAATGTAAATGACCCTGGAAAGGGCGAGCGAGAGCCTCAGCGCAGCTGTGCCCCACAGCCAAGTTTCCCTCTGGAAGGGGACTTCTGG